TCCTGTTCTCTTTTTTTTTTTCCAAATTTGCCACCAAGCAGACATTCATGTACCAGCAGGCCATTTGAATGACCCCAGGCTGATAGAAAAGCAATTTCTTTTTTGTTTTCTTCTGTTTTTTTAAATCAGCAGTCTCTCTGCTTGGCTAAAGTTAAAGTTTAAGCAAAAAAAAAATTACATAAAAAACAGGCTGGGAGCTGGTGTTGCACAGTCATATAGACCTGGGCAGTGCAAACTGTTGGACCTTAAGTAAGGCGCCGTGCTCTTTGTTCTGGTTGCTTTCTGGTGCTAAAAAAAGGAGATTAATAACAAAGGTGGTCCTAATGGATCTACATCTTTAACCTTTCCCTCTTAGATTAAATATCTGCCTTATAATTCAGAGTCAGATGAAAAGATTGTTTACTTTTGGCTTCTTAAAATATATATATATATTTTTAAGAATATAGTAAAATGTCCCAGTATTACCATAGTGTAGTGTACAGAGCTCTATTAAAACAAAACTAAGCAGCACCTCAGATTGATCAATATAATCTAAGATGATTTTAGTTTGCTACATATTGTTATAAGACAAAGAGGTAGACCCCAAATAAAATTCTGCCCAGGGCCCCATACAGCATTTGAGCGGCTCTGTTTGAAAGTGCCTGATTCCAGTAAAAAAAGAAAAAAAAACACCACAAAGAAAACAAAAAACAGAGTCATATATCAACTTGCTCATCGGTATTTGTCAGCGGCAATGTCAGGGGAATCTGAGGAAAGCGGATTGCCTCGCTGTTTCGGCGCATGTATGCATGGCCGCTGATCGGGTACCACATCTCAGTGAAGGTGAGGTTGGCAACGGTGATGGCGCAGCGGCCCAGGACCTTGAAGCCTGACTTGCGGTAGAAGGGGATGAGGAAGTCCTCGCACATCAGCACGGCTCGGCGCACGTTGGGCAGGCAGCGCAGGTATTGCAGGTAGCGCCACATCAGAATGGGGCCTTTGCCCTGTTGCCTGAAGGTGCGGTGGACCGCCAGGACGTGGATGTGGACGGTGGAGCCACAGGGCTTATGGAGGGTCAGTGCATCCTGAAAGGAAAAGAAATATTCTAAATTATTTTAGTTTCAGTTTTTACCGCGTTGGCTTTGATAAAATGGAGAAAGATGCAGATCTGGATTGAAATCCTTGATGGACCCCTCCTCCTTTAACGGTGCAAGATATGCAGAACATAACTGCAAATATGCACTAGAATATGTATTTAAGTTGCAAAATGGAGTCGCTCCTTTTTCACTCTTTGTTCTTCTGTTGTCCCCCCTGACTATGATTTTGCTGCCCTGGGTGGTGAGCCATATAATACATATCTAAAAGCACAGCCGGCTTAATATTTTACCGAGGTGAGCCGGTCCTGGTCCCACAGAGACCCGATGATGAACGCCACCAACCGGCCCTCCTCAAACCAGCCCATGGAGAACTCTGGACACAACGTGAGGAAATGACGCACCTCATCCAGGTGAAGGGGGCACTCTCCTGACACTGAGATAAAAGCTGGAACAGACACACAGGATCAGGGGAAATGCAAAATTTCCATAATGCAAACATAAACCTGAGACACAATCATACTTTAAGCTGCTATAAATTCTGCAAATTAATATCATTCTCTGCAAATAACAATGGATTTTATAACACTCCCATGATTCCTAACCTACGGAGGGCCAAAGATGTCAGAATTCACATCTGTATTATATGATTGCAGTTTAAAAAAAAGCTTGTTAATTAGCCATTAATGAAAATCAGGTGCTCAGAAACAAAACACCAAACCCAAGGACTGGAGTTGAATCTTTCGATATATATTGTTTTAAAATTGTTATAAAAATGGAAAAATGCAATCACTGTATTATTCATATCTATGTGATTTTTACTTAATAAAAATACTCCTAACCCATAAACTTGATTGCAATGTTCAAATAATTTATTATAGGTATAAATGAATATTATTTGAATGTATATTTCATTAACCCTTTATCTGAAGTCAGTTGCATTGAAAACACTGCATGGTTAGGGTCTATTTAAAGTGCCAGTGAAAAAAATAATGCACTTTTTTTTTGCATTTATTTAATCATATTTAGTTAATGCAACAATTGTTCTATGTCCTACCCTGCTAACATGAAACAATTGTATTAAAGTAATTAAATATGATTAACTAAATGCCAAAAACGGTGCATTATAGTTTTCAGGTCTGTCACTGAAATATGTATATTAAATAAAAAATGCTTGCAAAAAGTTGCACATTATTCAGGTAACTAGTGGTTTTGATTATTTTTGGTCTTTTAAATAAATTATTGACTCATTTAAAGTGTTTTGAGATTATTATTTATTTGTTTGTTTATTTGATTGTGCCTAATGCAGAATTATAAGTCACCAGATATCTAATTGATGAATTCATTGTGGCCCTCCTTATGAGTTGGCTGACTTACCCTCCCTCTCGATCTCAAACACGCTGATGGCGTCCTGCGTGTTGAGGGGCCGCACCTCGCTGGCTGGGAGCGTGTGTCTCCGCTGGATGCCGGGCGAAACTGAAGGAGAGGTCTGCATTGGTTTGATGAAAGGCTGTGCGCCCACAACAGACATCATACGAGTCAAATCTCTTGTTCTCCAGGAGAATCCAAACTTTTTCTTTTCTTTCCTGGGTGTCCTCCTCCTCTACCCCCGCTGCAGCAGGATCGCCTCTGCGGGGCCCCTGCGAAGAGAACTGGACGGTCAGCGAGTGTATTTATGGTGCAGCTCAGCCGGGATGATTCACAGGCTGATTTGCATTTGAATAAAAAGTCATAACAGCGGAGCCCTACAATTAATCTGGATGTGTTTCAGCATGTTAACATGAAAAAAAATAGATAGGGATGATAATTACTGATTTCCAGTAAATCACTGCCTATTTATAGCAGCTGTGTGACTGAAGTTTTAACATTTCAGGACTGCAATTAAAAATCTCCCATCAATTTAGTGGTTCACATGGATTTCAGGTTGACTGAGTGCAAAGCATCACTTACCAAAGAGCTGAGAATATCAGAGAAGGTTGTGCGGAGTGCTGCTTCTGCCTGGATGTCTCTCCTGTTTCCACTACAGGTGTCCCTCTTCATTATGGGCTGATTATTACTATGGGTCACCTGATGAAGGATTACTGAAGATGTTTCCATAACTCCCAGGCATTAGATCCTATGCTGCCTCTATGACAGAGCACACCATGCTCCCACTACTAAAGAAAAAAAAAAATCTGCTGTTTTTAACAGTCTATAACATATAACATTTTCCAGTACAAAAGGATTTGTTTGTGAAACTCTGACAGTGTTATTGGCAATTTGTCTACATTAAAGTCCGCTCTCAGATGAAATTCCAATCCTCCAATTTTCTTGAACAAGGTCCTTGAAATACAAAACCAAAAAGATTTTAACCACTTTATTCTTATGGTCCCATTTAGGCAGTCAAAATCAATAACTTTGAGACCTCCATCCTTTGCGTCTTTAACCAAACTGCTTTTCTTCATATAATGTGGTCTGTTTCTCCAAATGAAATTTAGGTTGATATGGTAAATAGATTTAATTAATCTGTTTGGAATGGCATTTGAATAGGCTGGGTAGATACATCTAGATAAGTATTCCATCTTAGTTAGTTGTTGATAAGTCCCTCTGTAGCCATAAGTTTAGTCGTGACTTGCATTCTTTTATTTTGTTTTCTTCATTCAGAAGTTGGCTTTGTTTTTGGTCTCTGGATTAGTGGATCCCTAGGTATTTAATTTTAGATTTAATAGGGATATTACAGATGTCTTTCAGTGGTGTCTCATGTACAACCAGCAGTTCACACTTTTTAAGGTTTAATGTTAGGCCTGAGGCTTTGTAGAATTTTTCGATTTAAGCAATGGTTTTTGAAATTTGATGTCTGTCTTTCAGGAATATTGTTGTGTCATCTGCTAGTTGGCTGATTATTATGTCTGTGCCATGTTCATTAAGTTTTTTAATATCATTACGATTCTTAATATAGATAGCTAGCATTTCTGTGGCTAAGATGAACAGGTATGGTGAGATGGGGCAGCCCTTAGGAATCCCCACATTAACCTTGAAGCTTGGGGTGGTGCCACTGGGCAGTAGGACGCAACTGCTAATATCTCAATACAGTCCACTGATTATTTCTCGAAACTTAACTCCGAAACCAAAGTGTTTGAGAGTCGAAAGAATAAATGGATGCTCAACAGAGTCAAACGCTTTGTAGAAGTCTAGAAACATAAGGAAACCATGATCTTCTATTTGGTTTCTATATTCAATGATGTCCATTACCAATCTAATATTATTATGGATTGATCTTCCCTTTAAGAATCCTGACTGTGTATCTGCAATTAGATCTAAAATCCCTGTTTGGAGACGAGACTCGAAGAGGTAAGTTAAAAGTTTGTAGTCTGAATTTCTGAGTGTCATGGGGAATTAATGAAAGAATGAACCCCAGTTCCACTCAGTTTGTTCAAAATGTGCATCTGTTTTTGATATATCAATTAAATCTGCCATCCTGGCAAAAATGGAAAAAGGTACACGGGTATCACCACTTTTTATGGCGATTCCAGTGATTTTGATACAGACATAAAAATGAACGCTCTCTAAATGTATTGAAAGAAATACCTTAAATTCAACTTATGTGAAAATGCGTTTCTACTTTTGGTTATTAATACTTAAATCTGTTGATTTATATGAATAATATTTCAATTATTTTATTTGGTCATTCATAAACTGACAGCATTTGCTTGTAATTACTCCTTCTGACCGCTAGAGGGCAGACAATTGAAGTTGTAACTCTTGATAGCATTGTCTAAAACTATACTGAAATATTTTCAAAGACTCAATTAGATCTTTCAATGTGTGATATTTATAACATGGTTTATATTGAATAGGATAGTAACATGTTTTTTTAAAATCATAAAATAAAAACAGAACCCTAAATCTAAAATCGCTGTAATTTTTCTTCGTTTTGGTGACGTCAAGGTTACCTTTCCGCTTCTGCATGCAGCAGTAAACATGGCGGACGGCTAACACATTCATAGTATTAAAATAAGTCCTGGCTGAGGTTCTTCTCTGCAGGACTAAAAACAGAAACGCATCCTTTGCTGATTGTATCCTAGGAGACGTGTAAGCCTCATTGGAGGCTGTTTTTCTTTATAGAAAAGGTAAAGTCTGCCTTGCCTCTCGCGATGTTGCTATCGATGCTAACGCGGGGCATAGCTTCAGTTTCATGCTAATGTGATAAGTTATGACTTCCGAACCTCAATATACTATTGTTTACCAGACGTAAATGTTTTCGAATTACTCGTTTTTCGTTACTCATTTAACTGTTCCATTGAAAAATATCGAACAAATCTCATTAAGGTGCCTTAGCTAACCTGTTAGCTAGCACTGGCTAACGTGAGGTGGTTTATATTTACGAATCCTAGCAATAAGTTTATAAGTTAAACATAAAAACGATGCAGTGAATTTACGTTTTGTTTAATAAGACATCTGTATTATTATTCTATTCATAATTAGCTAACAATGTATTTATTAAATGAGTGTTATGGACAAAAAAATCGCATTAACGTATTAAAATAACTGGCTTTTTAAAGGGGTAATGTAGATGATTTCATTTAGAACCTGATGATTAACATTAGAACCTGTTAAAAGTTGATAATCAGAAGAACATGAAGTTTTGCATTTTCAGTTTATTGTTTTTGTATATTCCCTGAAACAATTGATAAGAAAACTCACATAAATGTTTGATCCTATTTCATTGACTAGATTCAAAGTTATCTGAACTATTATTGTATTTGTCTAAAATTCACTTCTACTGGCTGCTTTATACACTACTCAAGAACAAGTATAAGTTATAAGATTTGTTTCGTATCTCGGTATTTGTGTGAAAAATTCGTATAAAAATGTTTGAAGCAATAATTCCTGCTGCTGCTAATATATGATCGAATGTTTGATGTCATATTTGTTATTTCTGATACAAGAGTTTATATTTTCTTATTTAGACAACTCAAAATATAAAATAAATAAAGTAGTAATTCGCAATTAAAACATCTCTGTTGTATAAAATACTATGTGTTGTGCTGTTGATGAAACTGATGGTATAAAAAGTTGAGATGGTTAAACTGTTAGTTTGGGTATTTGGCCTCCAGTTGGCTGTTCAAATCTGCTATCTCAGCATATAGGTCGTTAACAATCAATGTAACTCTCGAAAGAGAAATCTATGATGCTTTTTTTAAGTTTCCACTTGACTGTCTGTCCGAGCCAAAAATACTTGCAGCTCAGACAGGCAAGCGAAACATAGGAACTGTGTTTTAGCCTGTGGTTGGTTAGTGAGCGACACCATGAACGGTTGGTTAAAAGCTTTTTTGGTGCTATTTGCTTTAAAAACATAAAATCAAAAAACAACTATAGTCAGAGCAATAAAAACAATATATGTCTGTGGATTAAATCAGTTGATTGCTGTTATAAAAAGGCTTGAGAAACTTGTTTGTTTTAACCTATGGCTGAAACAACCAGATTAATCGATTATAGAAATAATGGTTGACAAATTTAGTAAGTGATTTGGCTTCTTGTCATTAACTGGAGTATGGGGACTCTAAAAGTGCCATTAGATGGAAAAGCAGCACATTCATAGCAGTAATTATCAAAATTGTAAAAAATAATGTATATATATCAAAATAGTTTATTTTTAGGTTCACCCGATATACATTTTGTGTACAATCTTCTTCAAGGTAGTTTTGTTATCCGTTTATTAAATGATTAATCAAAGAAATAATCCACAGATTAAACAACTAGCAAAGTAATCACTATTTGCAGCCCTAGTTTATCCCCTTTAGCTGTCATGAAAAAACACTGAGGTCCTCATGTAAGAGGACCTCAGTGAGACCTTCAGACTTCAAAGCGCCACAGTTTCACCTGCAATAGTTAAAAACTGGTTACTAGTAGGGTTGTCATGAGACTGAAATTTCAGGCTGCACAATTATTTTCCAAATCGATCAATCTGTCAATTTTTTTGTTTTTTTTTTGAATAATCGATTAATAATTGGATAGCCCAACATTCTTTAAAGAAGACTTCTTGTGAAATAAAATCAGGTGAAACTCAAACTTTTCCACTTGAGGATTTTTAGATAGAGCATATTGAAAGACTAAAACTTTTTTTTTATGTATTAAATACAAAATGTTTATAAATTTTTTTACAATCTTAACTGCTCTAAATGGGTTTGTCCGTGAGCTATAGGCATGTTTCTAGGGTCTCTATACTCCAGTTAACAATTAATTGATTACTAATTGAAGATTATTTCAATATTGGAGTAATCCAATGAATTGTTTCAGCCCTACTGAGATTTCAAACGTCATATCGATACTGAAGAAAGTATTCAGTACTCAAAATGTCATTTTGATACCACAGGGATAAAGTATGAAAAATTATTATAAAGACAAAATTTTTTTTAAACACAACACATAATTTTTGTTTTCTTTATAAAGTTTTTAAAAATTTGCTTTGTGAATTCTGTTGTTTTTATCTAAATCATCACTGGTGATTTGATGTCTGGCAGGTTGAAGGAGACGGCTTGTAAAAATGGGGCGGCGTTCTACCTCTTCCACCAAGAGTGGGAAGTTTATGAATCCCACCGACCAGGCCAGTAAGTATCAGCCAGTAAATAAACCGCCTGCCGACCTGTTTACTGACATTGGAATAACATGTCTCTGTATTAGTGGCTGATTCTTGGTGTTTACCGCTTTACAGGAAAGGAGGCCAGGAAAAGGGAGTTAAAAAAGGTAAAACTCAATGCTTTAAACATATCATCTTCAAGGCAGGGGGGAGTTTTTAAGTCACTGATGTTCCTTATTTATGTTTTTGCAGAACAAGAAGCAGAGGATGATGGTGAGAGCAGCTGTGCTGAAGATGAAAGATCCCAGACAAATCATCAGAGACATGGAAAAGTTGGATGAGATGGGTGAGAGAGGCAATTTCCTTCAGTTGCATGTTTCCTTTTTGCTTTTAAATCTCTTACTCTGCATGTTATCAAAATTAAGACCCTTTAGATCTGTTTGAAAAATCTGACCTCTTTGGTATTTTTAGAGTTTAACCCAGTTCAGCAGCCCTTATTGAATGAGAAGGTGCTGAGGGACAAACGGAAGAAGTTACGTGAGACGTTTGAACGTATCGTCCATCTGTATGAGAGGGAAAACCCAGAAACCTACAAGGAGCTGCGCAAACTGGAGCTGGAATACGAGACCAAGCGAGGGCAGCTGGCTCTGTACTTTGACTCGGTCAAGGTAGGATGGATGCTTTGCGGAAGTCTAGTTGATTTTTTTATTATTTATTTATTTTCCCTCCACTATTTTCAGAAAACTCACTGTTGAAAATCTTTAAAATAAATTGTAAAATTAGCAAAATTTAGCTTCAGCTAAAGCAGTTGGTATCATTTAGACCTCACTCTATATCTTATTCTCCTGCTAATATTATAAATGCTCTTCTTTATTTTTCCAGAATGCAGAGTCAGTGGAAGTGGACAGCATCCCTTTACCCGACATGCCTCACGCCCCATCCAACATCCACATTCAGGACATCCCGCTGCCCAGAGCTCAGCCTCCTTCTATACTGAAAAAAAACTCCTCTTTTGGGTAAGTTCTGGCCTTCAACAAATCTCCTCTGCTTTGCACAAATATTCACACCCCTTAAAAGTTTCACACTTACTTAAATATGAACAAAAAATTTCAATTAATATTATTACATTTTTACATGATCATCTTAAATCTGCTTTCATGTGAGGGAATTTGTGGACATTTTCTTTCTTCTGTGGTCCTGATAAATCTTGTATTTCTGTTTTTGAATGAATCAAACTTGTAATTGAATGAAAGCCTTTAGAAATCTATTTGCCACTAGCTTTGCAGAGAACCCTGTTAGCATGTAAATGAAATGTGTTTCCATGGCGGCAAGAACAGCTCCTCTTAACAAATTTCACAAAATATGCTGCTTAAAACGATACAAACTGGACCTCAAAACCACATCTATGATCACCAACGCCTGCTGGAGCTACGGTCACAAAATGTTTTAAATACTGACCGTTTAAAAAAGCTGCGGAGTGCTACGGACGGATGTCAACAAAACAAAAGCGGAAAATAACTGACTGAGGAAGAGATGCGTGAGATGGAGAAAGCGAGGCTGCAGAGGGGGTGCTAACTACGAAGCTAAAGAGAGATTCCCCACAGACCACCGCCTTCCCCAATCCTGCTCTCCAACGTTTGCTCGTTGGAAAACAAAATGGATAATCTCCGACTGGAGCTCTCTTCAAAAAAGGAGATATGTAACTTCTGCGCCATCATTCTGATGGGGTCTTTGTTGCGTCCAGCAGTACCGGACGGTGCTGTTGGCCTGAGGGGGCTGATGCTGTACCGTGCCGTGAATGGAGGCTCTTCTGAGACTGTTCCCAGGCAATCTTCTGCATCTAGAGGGGAAAAACAGCCCTCTGCAGGTGAAAATGAGGAGAGCACTCTAGATCCTTCCCTGCCAAATGCTGAAACATCCCCAGCCGGCTCCTCCCGGCCCCCTGCAGCTTCCAAACCTTCTCGAGCACCGTCTGTCGCTGCTAAACCTGCCTATGGCGCCACTGCTTCAACCATGTCAGCCTCTTACCCCGAAATCCCACATCCTCCGTCAGCGCTTTGCTCCTGCTGCGCTCCAGATCGTCTGCACAAAGCAAAGCCTACATCCTCCGCTGTTCCTCCCGTCTTGCTCTGCTCCGACTTCCTCGGAGTTTGAGGAAAAATGCGCGATATTATTAAACTAAAAGGAGCAAAACATGCGGAAATGAAAAAGGGTTTCGGCGGATCATTACAAATATTAAAAGTCATTAAATTATTATTTTTAAATTAAGGCCTTAATTGGCACTGATTAAATGAGATTATTGTGGCATTTGAAATGCTTTATTTAAAAAAGATTTGCGATGAATTTGCACGGAACTGATTGCAGTTTATCATAAAGCCGTATGTTCGAAAAAAGAAGCTCAATGCGGAGAAAAGGCTAGAGAATGGGGGAAAATGCAAATGTCAACAACAGTGGATGGAAAACGAGGATATATATATATATATATATATATATATGAGTCATGGGACTGTGCTTACAGCTCCTTATTTCATGTACACTAATAACTTGTGTACATGGTACTTGTTGATTTCATTAAAATTATTTCTAATAGCTTTAAAAAGCATTAAATTATAGTTACTCATTCCTGTATAAACCCTGTGAACGCTTAATTTAATATGACATATTAAAGAAATCCCCATCATCATCCAGCAGATTTTCAGTTTCTGCCCAAATATTTTCGTTTTGTGGTGGATTTTTCTGACAGGGATAACTAGGATCATCCATGTTTTCTATGAACTATGTTTGCTCTCTGCTTCCAAACTCGGCATCTCTTCATCCATTCCTGCGATAAGAAGATAGTTTTGAAGTTGTGATAGGCGCTCTTAGAAGTTTTGAATGGATTTGATTAAACCTTTAAGCCCCTCGTTATAAAATAAATATTTTGATGGAGATGAGAAATCTGCTTCCTGGTTGGTGAATAACCAATAGTTTGCATCCAATCATTTAAATAAAGGCTCTTTGTTTTTGGGAATATATAAGAATTTTGCTCTAATTTCTAATTACCGATATGTTGTTCCTATATTTTAATTAGTCAAATCGGATCTTCTCGCCGTTCTTTTTCCTGTTTGATGCAATTGCAATAGCGGATCTTGACCTGGCTGGACCGGTGCGGAGCAAAAAATAGCTCGGCTCCGTATTTTGGTGGTAAAGGACGGAGAAGACGTATGTGGACGGTGATGTGCGGAGAAGTAGCAGTGGATGTGGAAAAGCTCTCATCGGTTAACATGACAGACAAGTGCTCCGCATGACGTACATCAGCGGGGCAGAGCACAGTGGAGCGCTGACGGAGTATGTGGAATCTGGGGGTCAAACCCAGGGGGCAACCACCCTCACAGCATCGTCATCATCGTCCTCTTCCTCCCCTGAGCCATAAGAAGCGAGTGCTCCAGGAGCTAGAGGCAGTAGTAGCAGCTCAACAACAACTGCTGCTTACCTTATCAAGACTGCCCTTTAAAAAATTTAATTGTCTAGATAGCTGTTCTAAATGTAATTTCTTTTTGTTTACACTTGTGTATACAAAATGACAAAATAAATCTGTCTAAGTCTAAATGAGTTTCCAGGGGTGTGAATACTTTTTAAAAAGGCTCTTTTTTTGTTTGTTTAATTGTCCGCTGCAGGGCTAATCCTTATGTTCTGAATTTCTTTTTAGCAAACCCTCCTCTGGTACAGGACTGCCAACAGTCCCCAGTGTCCCACGTTTACCTCCTGGGAAGAAACCTCCAGGACCCCCTCCCGGCCCGCCGCCCCCACAGGTGCTGGCGCTGTATGGCATTCCCTCCAGACGAAACTACGGCACAGATGCGGGTACGATTCTAAACAGATCTCCAGCTGTTCTCCTTCATTGTTTCTGTGTTCCATCCTTCTGTTTTTTATTTTTTATTTTTTTGTTTGAGCAGAGCTTTCCATTCCCGGCTTAGAAAGAGACTCCGGCATGGATTTGGGAAGAGATCGGGACAGTGGGAGCGAGAGCGACAGAGACCGGGACGACGGGGACGACGACAGCGACTCTGAGGACGACAGCGAAGATGATGGAGATGAAGGGGGAGATGGAGAAAGATCACGCTCAGATCGACAGGGTGACGACAGGGATGAGGACAGAGACAGGAGTGAAAGACACGCTGGTGGGCATTTATTTAGTTTTTATTTGTACTCCTCAGCAGCAGAGGTAGTATGCAGAGCATTCCTCTTCTCTCACTGATAACTTCCTCGTATTGATGCCTGCAGGTCGCAGCGTGCGTTTTGCAGATTTATCAGCAGATGACTCTCGGGATGGAAAAAGAAAGAAAAAGAGAGTGGTGAAGAAGACGAAGGCCATCACTCCGCTGCAGGCCATGATGTTGAGGATGGCAGGTACTTACAGTCACCAACGTGTTGCGACGTCGTCTTGTCTTTTAGTTTCTGTAACCATGCCGGTTCTCTTCAGGTCAGTCGATTCCCGAGGAGGAGGAAGAAGAGGAGGTAGAAGAGGAATACACAGACGAGTCGGACGCCTCAGACTCTGAGGACCGGGGGCCAACCGGGGACTCTCAGTCCAACACTACGGCCAGTCAGCGTCTGCCCCCTCCTCCTGGGTCAGTCGGACAGCAGGGACCTCCACCCATGCAAGGCCCGCCGATGACTGGACCTCCTCCGTTAGGTCCTCCACCAGCTCCTCCAATGCGGCCCCCTGGTCCCCCCTCGGGCCCGCCCCCTGCACCCCCTCCAGGCTAGTTTGATTTACTTGGAAACATTTGCTGACGTAGATTGCTGGTGGTTTTGCTCATATCTACTAACATGCTGTAATTTAAATTAATTGTTCTGTAATTCTTAGGCGCCCCTCCATTTTTGAGGCCCCCCGGTATGCCTGGAGGAATTCGGGGTCCCATGCCTCGTCTCCTGCCCCCTGGTCCTCCACCTGGCCGACCACCTGGCCCTCCTCCGGGCCCCCCGCCCAGTCTTCCTCCTGGCCCTCCACCCCGTGGACCACCTCCCAGGCTACCCCCTCCAGCACCACCAGGTACAACTTTTTTTCAGCTTCTTATTAAAGTATTCACACCCTGGAAACTTTTTTTTTTTTTTCCTGTGTTACAACAAGCTTCTCGGAAAAGAAAAAGGCTTTCAATTATTTTACCCCCAGAAATCTTCAGCACAGAAATAGTTCCTGTTTGAAGGACGGGTAGAGAAGCTCCGGTCAAATAAGGATGATCAATTAAAATGATCTAACATGGAGGGGAAAGCTACAATATTCCCACCTAACTCCTTCCAACAAAGATGTAGAACAGGGACTGTTTTATCAAAAGAGACATTTCTACATTTTATCTTAAAGTTGGGTAAAAGAAGAATAAATAAATAAATATAAAGAAAAAGTTGCTCTCTGGTGGGATTCAATGCAGTTCTGTTCCAGGAAAAAAACGGAGAAACTGCTTAAACAAAAACATGAGCTTGTTCTTTATCATTTTCTAGCCAAAGTTTGACCAAAGAGCCGCTGGTAGCTCCATAGCTAGAAAGTTTATCAATGTTCTTCTCTAGACGTGTTAATCTGGTGTAGACCTTCGCAAAAAGATATTCGTCTGTAGCTGTAGGTGAAGTTGTCAAAGTGTGACTATAGCGACATGAAGCTACCTGCACAGAAGTTATGAGGAATGTAGTTTTTATTTTATTTATTTTTTAAAGCTGCTATATTCTTTGTCTTTTTTCAGGGATTCCACCTCCTCCTCCAAGAGCAGGAGCCCCTCCCCGTCTTGCGCCTCCACTCTCCATGTTTCCTCCACCGCTCAACTCCAACGTGCTCAGTGCTCCACCCAGCATCGTTCCAAGACAGAAAGCCCCGGGGTCCGGCCAGGAAGGTTCACAGAGCAGCATGCCGCCCCCATCCATGCCCATGCGACCGGGAGTCATGCAGATGCCCCCTCCTCCCGGTACAGCCGGCGCCCATCATCACGCGGCCACAATCGAAAAAAGAGCCAACATCACCTCTGCGGCTGCGGGAGGAGGCCTGGCAGCGGGCGGTGGCGCTGGAGGTGCTACCATTTCAGCCAAACCTCAAATTATCAACCCCAAGGCGGAGGTCACCCGCTTTGTTCCAACGGCACTGAGGGTGCGTAGGGACAAGGGAGGACCAATGCCGGGGGCAGCGACAGGATCACTGGAGAAGGCAGCGGGGAGTGCTGCAGGGCGGAGGGGAGACGAAGGGATGGGAGGAGGACAGTGGCAGAAACAGCAAGCGGCTGCTACAATGGGGCATGCCAACCCATCCCACATGGGTTCTGTTCCTCAGCCCAGCATGAAGACAAAAGACCAAGTTTATGAAGCGTTTATGAGAGAGATGGAGGGACTGCTGTAGGAATGAACAGGTTCTTTGAATTACGGACCTGTTGTTTGCTGTGCAGAGTTGTAGAAGTAGCTGTCCTTAAATAACTCAGAAAAAATAAATCTGATCCTATCCATGTATGAATACTAATATTTCAACTGGTGGTTTTTTTCTCAAGGCAACTGAACACTGCTCTGCACGGCTTCATTTCGTCTGCTTGTGTTTTTATTTTTTTAAATTTAAAAATGTTTCCCAACAGTTTGACTTCAGTGAAGCAACTTTTGAGCAACTGATTTGTTTTGTTTTATTACTGACCATCTTAAAAAGGACCGTTATATGTTGAATTGTTTTTTTCACTGATAAGTCATGTGTGAAACAGTTTGTCATGCAGCCAAATAAAAATCAGTTCAAACATGTTTTTTTTTTTTTTTTGTCACCATGGAAAATTGATATATTTAGCTGGATTAAAAAAAAATCCTCAAAGATTCTTTTTAGTTAAAAAATACTAGCCTAGTAAACTAGCTCCACCCGCCAGCGGCAAAAATCATTTTTGCCTGAGAGTGGGCTTGCCTCGATCAATGCCCCAGGCCCTAGAATTGGTGGCCAATCACAACGCAGAGATGTGTTTTGAAGGGCGTGACGTCAAAGCTGCGCGACACTGGAGAAAGCACAAGGAAGATGGCAAGAACTATTGAACAGTTCTCGTTAGACTCGGCTTTGAATCAGTTTAGGAAGGATAAGACTTGGGGTTTTCGTAGAAACGTGAGCAGGAAGAGGCTCTACGCTAATTCATTTTTAAGAAGGACGTATTCGCCGTTTTACCCAAGGACAGGCTGTTTGTTTACGCCAGTTTTCTGTGGCGTTTTCTACGTCACAGTCGGTTGCGCTCATTGGTCAGAGCGTTGGCCAACAGGCGCAGACTGGCTCCGTTTTTTCAGCGAGGGCAGGGCGAGAACAACATCCGGGGGGTTTGGTGCGTGCTCGAGAAGCATCCCGCTGCAGCCTGCGGGAAGGCGGGGCTTTATGTCAAGCCCCGCCTTCCCGCAGGCTGCCATATTGGAAAATGCTGACGTAATAGGGCAGGGAAGCACATAGACATATAAGAAGATATATATAAAGGGGAGGTCTTCAACAGGGGGTCCGCGACCCCTAGGGGGTCCACAGAGGTACTGCATGGGGGTCGCGAAAGTTTTGGTTGATTATTTTTTTTTTTATATTACCCCCTGCAATTTTTTCCACTAATTGAAATTTCCATAAATCCACATTAACATGAATTCAACACACTGTAGTAAACAGATAAATGCAGGCAGAAGATGTCTTTCAGTCATCAATGCACACATTCAGTGACAGACAGGAGCTCTTTCAAGCTGGGCACCGTTTCATTCACAACACCTGTCTCATCAACCAGGAATCAGAATCAGAAATACTTTAATAATCCCAGGGAGGAATTAATTTCTTTACATTACTCCATCTGTAATAGAGTGACTATAGGACCAGTTTGATATAACACAATTTTATACAATAAATATGATTAGGGGGTCCCCACTCCATCTTGCTATCAGTTTGGGGGTCCTTGACCTGGAAAACGTTGAAGACCCCTGATATAAAGATATATGTAAAGATATGTTTTCATCTTAATTGTGAAAAGTTATCCCTCGAGCCCTGACGTCAATAGTCCGTAAATTTAAACAAAAATACGCCGCACAGTGCTGAGGCATCATTAGTGTGTTCAGCTTGAATCAGCAGGTTTGAGTAGCAGGTCGACCGCCCCAATATGGCGGCCGTAATTCCTGCGCCGCGACAGCCAATGCGGGGTCTACTCATATTATATTATTATTTAAACTTCAGCACCAGCAAGTATTTGGTTATATTGCTTTTCTTAATCAACGCTGGAGATAGGCACGAGCAACCCCCGCGACCCCATGAGGGATTAAGCGGGTCAGAAATTTGATGGATAGATTTTTTTTTTAATCTACGATGGAATCCACAGAATCCACTGCACCAGCCCTAACGACACCACTATAGGGATAAGTGTGAGTGTATGATAATTATTGGATAGATAAATGTGTCCTCAATGTAATGTACATTTGTCTCTAAACTACTAATTTAATTTACATTTTATGACATTTGTTTTTCATAGGGTTTGAGGATAGATAAATACATCTTCCGCTGTTCTCCTCTACATAAGAGAAGAACACCGGAAGTAGGCAGATAATTCATTTAAGTCGCTTATAATCTAAAATATGTCAAGTTCAACCATAGTTATTTTAAAATTCACATAAAACAGAAATGTGTGATAATATCATAGTTCACTTGGAATTTAAATGTAACACATATTTACTTATAATGACTTAAATACATTTAAAGATATTTTCTAAGGGTTATTCTAATAGGACTTATATTTATGACAAGTCAAACGGGGATACTAACATTTAGCCATTTTCAGAAAGTTGTCTATGTTGCGAAACTTGCCTTTTCAATGCTATAACAACAACCAGGACATCAACGGGATGACTGGTTGTCATGGTAACTAGTACACAGCGGTTAGGCAGACAACGTCCGTCCATTTTCTCGCTTTTAAGACTCCAAACTTTTTACAATTTTGCTCAATGGTTTGAAACAAGGACCTCGCGGTAATGTCCATGTATAAAAGGAAAAAGGTTGTTCATGGCGGAAAGGTAATTGTTGCCAAATTTGATCTAGCTCTCAACTAAACTAACAACGGCTGCTCGTTAACTTTATGGTTGTACTTATGAGAAAGTAAAAAGTAAAAAATTATTTTTTTTTTGATGAGAATTAATTTAAATGAGAATAGAAAAAAATATTTTCTGAGATTGACTTGTAAATGTATTCATACTCCAGAAATTTACAACCTTCGTTACCCCTCAAACACCAGACGTAATTTAAACTTTTTTTTTCATGTCCTAACCTGCTAACATGAACTAAATATGATTAGA